ATGCCTGACACCCTAACAAAGGGGAGGGTGTGTGGTCACTACTGTTAGCCTAGCCTTGTCCCATAACTATGGTCATCATATCTGTAGAGTTGGCCCCAGCTTGGGCCAGAAATCTTACAAATCACCCTGAGAATGCTGGGAATATTTCCTCCTCCTCACATGTATCCACACATGCATTCTCATGGCCATCCTCTTCCTGAAGTCCCTATGCCTGGTATTATCACTTGGTGTCATCATGATGAAGAATAATAGTATCATTAATGTTGTGACTATGAGTGACAATGCCAATATTAACAAGCTATTGTTCATAAGGTGCCCAATGACATACACCAGTCAGAGGTCAAGGCAGTTTAATTAACATTACTTTATTTAACCCTCTCAACAGTCATAAGGGGTAAGTATGAACATTTTCATTTTAAGCATGAGAAGCACATGTTCCGGGAGTTCAGAACCCAGAGGATAAAGCATTGGGTCTATATGCCTTCGGAGTCAAACTCTCTGCCCTGGCACAGCACAGAGTTCCTGGCACATTTGGTTGTAACATGACACCAACAGAAACATCTTAATTCCACGAGTGTCATGCACCTGGACTTCAGTGGGCAGTGGGGTCATCCGAGAGTGGCCACCTACCCAGGCTCTTCTTCTCTTCAGGGGGGACTTGCTGCTGGATGGGTCCCAGGATGACATCCACCTTTTCCTGGTAGGAGCCCACGTCTCTCTTGGATCTCACAACACAGCCTTTGTAGCACCGGGAAGAGTAGTCATACGCTCTGCACACCACCAGTTTACACTGCAGGTACACTGAAGGGAAGCGGTTCAGGAAGTGGAAGGATTTGAATTTCAAGCGGACAATGCGGGGAGATGGTTGGGAGTAGAATTGGAAGGTTTCATCCCTTATGCACCTGGAAGACAAAAAAAAAAAGGAACCTGTTAGTTCTCACCAAGGCCCTGAATTTGTCATGACTCAGTTGTACCAGGCGTGGAGCTCCACAGCCCCTCCAGGCTGCCCAGCCTCCCGAGCCACCTCACTTCCTCTGTGAAGACCATGCTGATCACACACTCACTGCCAGGGACGGAGACAAACCCCAGTGGGTCTGGTGCATCACCAGCATCCTCCAATAGCAAGTCCCCTGGGGTTTCCAGGCAGACAAGCAGGCCTCATGCAGCACCGAGGGTCAGGGTTCAGGTACAGGCATGTGCTCCATGGCCCCAAGTAAGCCCGGAGAGTCAGGGAAGTGGCTCAAGTTAGCAGCCCAGGAGCAGGCCAAAACAGGGAAGGAAAAAAGATAATTTCTCATTCCCTTTCCTGGTTGCAGGGCCAGGCAAAGTGACATTGGGTACACGGTGGGCAATTTTAGTGTTTCCTAGCCTGCCTAGCTCTCCTTCTCCCAGGGCCTCTCTCTCCTGAGCCACTGGGCCTCTGCTGAGCCCTGTGCAGCTGTATTTTCCACAGTGGCCTGGGGACCATGCAGGCCTCCTACTCCAGTATCCAAACACTTCCTCATTCCCTTCATGGAATTTCTTCCTCATTCCCTCATCCCAGCTGGTGGTAGAAAAAAAGTAATTTAAGGACCTACTTAAGGAATTTTACTAGATATGAATGAGGGTGGCTTTTCTCATGATAAACCACGTGCAGTCATACTAGTGGGGCTTTGAGTGATGGGGCAAGAGAAGAACAAGGTGAGCTGGTCTGGGGACCCTAGGGCAGCGATGTCTCAGAGGTGAGTGGCCATGGTCCCAGGACAGCCGGGCTGTCCCAGAAACTTGGCCTAGGTCTGCTCACTCTCCCTCCTCTGTCTTCCAAAGCTTATTTCCTGCCTCTACTTTCACTTCAGCTGTCCTCAGACACTCAGATTTCATTGTCTTTTCCACAGCAGCCTCCTTACTGGCCAAGGCACAAGAGAAAACCCGAGAGGCTCACTCAGAGGCAGGGCACTTGTGAAACAGGCCAGGGAGCTCTGGTACATTGCCGACATCTTTAAGTAGCACCCCTCACTGGATTTCTCTGCTTCATGTGCAGTCAGGTCCCCCCTCCTCCCATAAAATTGCACCACCATATAAGTGGCAGAATGTCACCTGTAGACAAGAATCTTTTGGCAGGACATTAAATTGCTCATTCATCTGCATTCATTTCAATCATTTTGTATCCACTCAAATGCTAACTTGTTTCATGGAGAGAGGGAATCTGGGTCAGCTTTCTTTCCAACTTTATCGCTGGGGGAAGCTGCTCATTGGAACAATTGCGTAGATTATAGACAAGATGAGCTTCACCATTGTTCACTGAACTGACACATATTCAAACTGTGCCTAGAAAGAGATGCTGCTTTTAGTATCTTGGGGAGGTGTGAAATTTAATCCTCACCCTTCATTCCTACCAGCACTCCTTACCTCATCAGTATAATTTCTCTTAGGAGGCAATGGCTACTAAGATATTAAAGGCAGTATGGCAAGTCAAGAAGTGCAGTGCCACCAGCAGCGGAAAACACAGAGTGGGGATTGGACTTGTACACCTGGCCTCTTAGGACCCCTTCAGGAGAGTCTCATGCTCCTCTACAGAGTGCCTCATCTGGGAAATCGGAGCAGGGGACAGGAGCCAGCCCGGGCACATTAGCCTGACCCCTGTACTACCTGAGCGGAACTGGAGAACTTTTCAGGCCCACGGAAGTCACAAAGAGCTCCTTAGTGCAACAGTCCTGTGGACCATCTGCTGGATAAGCTGAGGGTCCATCCACTTTTTTTCTTGTAATATGAAGGATTTATAGTGTGGGTATCACTATCACAATTGACAGGTGAGGAAACTGACCCAAAGAAGTATGGGTTGCAGCCTTGTTCTGCTCCCACACCAATGCTTTTCCCATTACACACAGGTAATTTTAACCAAAGGATGGGGTTTGGTCACCTAAAGTCTAATCACAGTTTACAGCCAACTTATTCAATGACTGCTGGGGAGTCATTTAATTCTTCCCACATGTTAAGTGGTGATGATGAAATTCCTGATCTTCTGATCAGTGGTGTTTTCCAGGACACAGCAAGAAAGGTTCTCAGAAGGTAAATATTATAGTATATGTCTACACCGAGAAAGGGGTTTAGCTGAGCTTCAGCTCCTTGGAACTTCATCTAACTAAAATCTGCACTCTGAGCCTTATGGGCTACTTATATCTGAATTATCAGGCAAAGGTTTAAACCCACCCTATAAAAGCGGTCCTTACCCTCTCTGGATGAGATTGTAAGTCAAAGATGAGAAGTCATTGGGATATGGTGATGCCACACAAGTGTCCACAAATAAGGCCAGGGAGGCATCAGAATGGAGGATTTCAGCCTGAAGGTATAAATTCTGATCCAGGTCCACATAGTATGGGCTGTAGGTCACAGGATACAAGAAGGAAGGGGATGTATAGAAAGAAATGTTCACATTGAAACTGCCATACTGGACTTCCTGGACCTCAATGGTGTCATTAGTAATGTACATGGTGTTGACCCAGGTGTTCTGGAGCATCTTGCAGCTGACATGAATGTTGAGGTCTTTTTTCCTTTTGATGATGCCATTTGAAACTGCTGCTTTGAGGAAGGTGGAATAGCTGATGGTATCATTATCGACCTAGGAGTGGCAGGCAAGAGAGCAGAGTGAGGAAAATGTCATCTGGTAAGAGGATTTCACGGTTGATTTGATTTCCAAGAAGGAAATGATTCCACCAACTTCAAAATGTTCCCAGAGCCACACACAGATGGGCAATGCCTGATACTATTATCTGGCCTGGATGTCCAGCTCAGCTAGTAAGACTTCCTCCTGCACTTCTTTTACCATATGATAACCGTGGTGTACCCCAGTCGTTGCTCTTCCTCATTGGCAAGATTGGTGTCTGGATGGTCTCTTGACCTACCATGTGTTTGGACTCCGTGTTTCAAGGCTCAGAACAGAATGTTCTGTTTCATTCTCACTGTGGCTGGGGGTCACAGGGGAGAAAGTTACGTACTCCTCGGAGAGGGGTCTGGTGAGATCAGCGTTAACTACATTGTGTTGTTTGACTGGTAATTGCTGCAGCTTGGTGACTGACACTGTGAGAGCTGGGAGCTGTAGAGATTCAGAGTTATACTAGCAGCAGGCGTTGACATCTGGGGTTGGGACAATTGTGTGGGTCACAGCACCCTGGAGCCATTCCTGTCCCACTTCCCTGTACCACAAGACCATTTGCTACCATGCCTTCCACTAACCATCAAATTCTTAGGAATCTTGGTACCTCATGGCATTTGATGTGCCTATCATCTCTTGAAAGTGACTTTTCCAAAGATGGGAGCCCTATACCTGGGAACTGTGGCCATCTTACAGGAAAGATGATGTTTAAATGTTCTTTCTTAAGGGCTTGACACAGTGTCACCAATAGTATTGATGGAATGAATGAAAGGAGCAGGGTCCAACAGTCTTGTGGAAGAGCTAGGATGAGTGGAGGACAAGGCAGGGAGTTGTCAGTCCAAATGGCCAAGAGGACACAGGCAACAAGGCCTCCTGGAAGATTCATGATTGTGAACACTCAGCTCATGGTGAGCATAAGAGTGCCATCGCCCTGTTAGGAACTGTGGAATTTCTTCTCCTGTCAAGTGCTATGATGGTCAGAAGCAAACCTTTCCCAGGCCCACATGCTTTGAGTCCTAGCACACAAGTACTTTTGCAAGAATGAACAGGAAGATAATACCATTAGTGACCTAAACATAAGTCCTAACAGGTAAGGCAGCCTTACTCTTTGCATGAAAAAAAGGGAGACAAAGCTTTGCATTTTAGTCGTGTACACTGTCAAGGACAAAATATTGCTGGCTGATTAGGATACTAGATAAGCTTGCTTCTGAAGCAATGATCACTACTGGTGAACTGACTCCCAGGGCTAAACTCATGGCAAACCAGGACCCAACATGATTAGTTTACAAGATGAAATATAAAAGCTGGTGGAACAAACCACTTGCGTGGCATGACTGGTATGCACTCCTCCCTGCAAGTAAGTCTACCTGACCCACCAAACGCCTCTTCAAAGGAGACCTGTTGTATAGAAGATCTGATTAAGGGCCTGGGTGACCATGTGGCCACTGCAGTTCCTCAGACACAGGCACTCACAGCCAGTGGGTCCATCTGGTTGGTGAAATGAGTGTCCCCTTCCTCTCTGCTTCTTCCAAATCACAAGTTTGCCAGGTAGTGAACAGCATCACTTTAGCACCTAGCACAGCGACTGCCACACGATAAGTGGTCACTACATTTCTGGTGCAGGAACATGCCCTGGCTGACCTTGTGTGCTCCACCTACACTGTACAATGCGAGCACTTCAGACTATGAATGACCTGCCAAATAAAAGTATCATCATTTTTTTGGTCCTTAACACAAAAGCTTGAAATTTAGGTGTCAGGCAAGCATTCAGAACTTAGAATTGCTAATTTAAAATTAAACACACTTGGGATAAATGCATCATACCTTCAAAGGTTTGATAATGTAATCACTACCACGGAAGATTTCCATTGCCCCACAGCATCCTTCTACTCTTGGCAGCCACCCCTCCAACTTGGTAACAAACAGCCATGGATAATCTTTTTGTAACTGCACATTTATTAATATAAATGGAATCACAGAGCATGGCTCCTTTTACTTGGCATAAGTTTCTTGAGATTCTCAGATTATGCCGTCATGGCTGAATGGCCTTGAGCAACATGCCTGGTCTCTCTCAGCTCACTTCCCCATTTTTAAAGCAAAGATGACAATAAGCAAATATTTGAGAAGTTGGGGAGTGGGATTTGGACTAATTACGGCAGCTGCCACTTGTAGAATGACAACTATCCCAATATACCCAGGACTGAAGAATGTCCTGGGACATGGGACATTCTGTGCTAAAATCTGCAGTTTCAAGCAAACCAAGATGGTTGGTCACTCTCGATGGTGACAGCTCAACAAATGGTAGCTACAGAAACCGATTAATTGTGACACTAACAAGCGAACGGGCTTTCTCTAAGGTGTAGCAATGTGTTTGCATTGCCACACGCTTCTGTAAAGCTTAGGAAAGTAAGATATATATGCATTCTTTGGCTTAATGAGGCCCCTGCCATTCTCACTCATCTCAGACCCAGGCTGTACAAGCTTCAGGTCCTATAAAACTCAGAACTAACCCGGAGCTGCTCTTGTTATTGCTGGTGGGAGTGGCAGCCTACCAAATGAGCTCTCTGTAAGACACAGCCAGAGAAACTGCTCACCGAGCTGCCTTCCGTCCTTCTACTCCCTCCTATTTGCAAGTAGCTGTAGCTATATCATGATCCCAGTGATTTCTCTCTTCCCTTGATCTGACTATGTTCTGACTCCACCAAAATCGTAACATCAGGATCCCAAGTATTCAAGACATATACTGTGTATCACTGTAAGAAAGCATGCTCAAGAGGAAGTGGAGGAACATATCCAGGCTCACCTGTCTGATGGTGCCACAGCCGGAGTAGGGAACTGTGAATATCACGTGACTCGACGTTATCTGGGGTTGACATTGGTAGTTCCCGTTCCAGCCAGAAATGACAAGGTCACTGGCCAAAAAGCCCAGGGACTGGAGGTAGGTCCTGCTCACACTGGCTTGCATGTGATTCGGAAGGCAAAACAGATCTGATGGACAAGGGCAGATAATACACTTGGTCAGTGTTCCCAAGCCCCATAAGTCCTATAGGTGCTTTTTCCATGTGAAAGGTCACAGATAAAGACAGCTGACACACAAGGTTAGCATGTAGGGTGCATGAATAGAATATATCTCATTGCAACCCCCAAGTGCCCTTTGACACAAGTCAGCCCCATCCTCAGGAAAGCCCTAAAAAGGCATATGGAGTTAGGATGTCCCTGATGGACAACACGAAGCAAGATTTTAAATAAGTGAAATGACCTGCCATATTACCATTTACTCACAAAGTAAAGTAACTCTACAGTCAAATTTTGGTGATGTGATGAAGTAAGGTCATTTAGCTATGGAGAAAGTCTTTGCCTCAAATCCTGACTGCTTACAAGGCCTTGGACATCATCTTGCCCAGTCTTTGATTAATGTATCCATCACTCCATACAGCGTCTCAGATTGCAGCCACATGGCCTCTTCTAGATGGGGCTGTGACCAGCTTTGTGGATCTTCACATGGAAGTCTAGTATGTTAGGTCTCAGGACGTGGCCAGTGCCCCACATTCAACAAAGATCACAAAGCTTCAAGTCAGGTGGTTGTTTCTCCCTTTGGCACTGACTTCTTGCTATCGCTGAAAGTATAATCTTGCACCTTCTACTTCTTCTTTGCTGACTACAATAAAACTAATGCACTGCCAATCATCCAGTGCAGGTCCTTGACCTCATATCCAGCAGCTAGAGTCCCAAGACCCAGTGTCCAAGGCCTGGCTTGGGAGGAAATCAAGCCTTGGGGCTCTGATGGGGCTGATCTAACTTTGTATTTTACAACCATAGGACAGTTGAGCAGCAGAAGGCTCTCAGTGATGTCCCCACTCTGAACCAAGCGTCCTCACGGGAAACTTACGAGTGCTGTCATTAGCAAAGGTGGAGTAGTACTCAGCCCGGAATCCTTTCCGTGTGATGCTGAAATCACTGCTGAAGCGAACTGATATGAAGTTCGATGTTGAGGTGAAGGAGCCCCTGTAGCCATCACAGATCTTAGCGATGCGAGGGGAACTACGGTGGGGGCCGTCGAAAACCTCAATATAATCATAACTGCAGCCACCTTCAAGCCTGTGGAGACAGAACACACAGTTTTAGTTCTGCTTCCATCCAGAGTTTGACACAGATGGACAGATCTCAGGGAGGAGGTCAGACTTTTGTCCTCCAAACTCTGAAAAAAACTCATCATTGTGAAGAGTAGATTTCCTTAAAACAAGAGGGATTTGTTTTCCCATGATTGCCCTGGGCCCTCATCCAGCCTCTGGAATCACACATATGAAATCTATAGCCCTCTTCTGAAAACCCTTTGAATTATAAAAGGAAGAGTGCATATTCGATTTAGACCATTTTTCTTTCATTAAAGAGTGCCTGGTTCTCCTACAGCGAAATATGTACCCATGAGTTCATAGTGATATAAATACATAATTGAATAAATAAGCATCAGGCAAGTCAAATAACCTTCTGAAATTCAAACTTCCTATGTACAAAGGTGAAACAATCCTGTCCATGCATATCGAAGAAGGCAGTTGTGTGGCTCCAATAAAATAGCAAATGCAGATGTGCTTTATATAATGTCAAGAGTGGTCACTGTTATTGGTATGCTGTCTAAAGAACAGCCAGGGATAGCCCAGTCCCCTGGGAATAGGGAGTTTTAGGTATTGTCCTTATATTGCAGTGACAAACGGATTTGGCTCATGTATCTCTTGCAACATTCCCACTGAACTATCAAGGCAGAGACTCCAAGATTTCTGCAAACAGAAATCAAGACAGATACCTATTTTGTTCATTAATAATCGTTAGAGAAGAAAGTATGGTACCCTCTTGTCCAGGAGTCTAGAAAACTCTGGTGCTTTTCCATGGTCAGCTTGCTACCCCCCTCCTTGGATATATCATATATTAAGCATTTGTGGTGATGTCTCCTCTGTTTCAAAGAGTGGATTTCCACTTGTAATTGGGGGAAGAACAGATAGGTAGCCTAATGTCTGTCACATCAGTGCCATCCCCTCTGCCCAACCCCAGGAACTCATGACAGAAAGGAAGGGGTGGTAAGAAAACAGTTCAACAAAATGGGTGTGGTTAACAGGATTATTTGCATTACTCCCTCTAAGACCATCTTGGCTCCTAACAACACCCCCTGCCTCCCGCTGGGTAACATCTTTCACGTATTGTGACATACTCTTTTGATCTTCTCAGGAATCAGTGTGGGGAAGAGAGCAGATATTAAACACATTAACAGTTAATGTGTTTAATAACTGTTAAACACAGTTATTTTCCTCTCTTTTGACTAAGGCTCAGGGAAGATGCATGACTTCCTGTGGCACATTTGTGGAAGATCTGGAACTTGAAATCAGAGCCCTTGTCCACTCCAGGGCTGTACTCCCCAATCTATTACCACTCCCTATAAACTAGTGCTAGGCTAAGTCAAAAATTAAACCCATAATAAAAAAATGTCACCTACACAAGCATCTCCCCTGAATTTCTAAGTACCCTGTCTTCCCTTTCTAAATGTCCGCGGGAGTCCCTGAGGCAGTCTGCTTTGCATCCACATACTCACTGGACATCCGTGAAGATGACAGTCACAAGGTAGTTGTTTTGGACCTCAATGTCCCACACACATCTGGCATTGTTTGGATAGTTCCCAGGGTAGAAGGGGCTAGAAAAGCTCCCTGATGACTGGGACAGGAAGCCTCCACAGGAATAGTTTGCTGTAAGGACAACAGAATGCTGGTGACTGCACGGTCACCCGGGAAAATGCTTTACACAATCTCCACAGCAGGGACAGAACAAGAGGTGCCCTGGACCTGGACCATCCCCCAAGGGTCAGGGGAGACACCCTCCCGGGGCGGCTGTGCTTGGATAAGATTTCCCCTAGCCATCCCCATCAGCCCTCCACAGTGTCCTCATCACTGAAGGACAGCGAAGGGAGAGGTTCAAGCATCTCTGCCACAGAATTGTCAGGGAGCTCAGAACTTACCGTTTGGCTGGCTGCCAGTGGGAAAAGGAGCTGTTGACAGAGAGAATCGTGATTAGTTTTTTGGCATCTTCAGTGTTATTGTTGACTGCTGGCTCGTCTGTGCCAGGTACGATGTCAGCCCTGGGTTTACAGTGGGGGCCTGACCCGGGACTCTCACAGTGTGGAGGAGATGACACATCATGAAATGTGGCTGAGACAGAGGAAAGCCCGGGGATGGGAGCCAGAGGTTTGGCTCGTGGTCCAGACTTCATGGGGAATAGAGGGCGGGAAACAGGGACTGGCAGAGGGAGGAAGGGATGTGCCGGGCACTGGAAACCACATGCAAAGGGGCCCAGTATGGGGGACCTGGGGATTTCCTTGTGGATGACAAGGAGGGCATGGGCCAAGGGACTGAATCATAGAAGGCCCTGAGGCCTGACAGCCCTTGAAGGCTGAGCCTGGAACTAACCATTGGGCAGGGAGAGACACCCACCATGGCTGTTCTGTGGAGAATGGCAGGAAAGGAAGAACCTGAAATTGCTGCCGCAGGAAGCCGGGGGCAAGAGGCATGAAGGATGGTGATGGAGGGGAAGGGATCAAGGAGTGAGGAGGGTGCTAGGAGTAGCTGGCTGGAACGGATGAGGAGGGATTGTTGTTCATTACACCACATGCTCCCCAGTGATGCAGGCTCTATTTGGCCTCCACTGGACAGGGTCTGGCGTCGGGGAAGGGACAGGAATCTACAATGGTTGCTACATTACATACTATTGTCTTCAAAGAAGTTGCTCAGTCCACTAGACGTGAGAATGTAAGATTGATCAAACAATCAAAGACAGTAATAAGTAAAAAAAAAATTAATTAATTAAAATAAAACTTTGGAAATGATGCAGAGCTTCACTATACAAGATGGTAGGAGTTCAACAATGGTTCTTATAGTGCATATGGAATGGATAAAAAAGATGTGATATTTTTATACAATGAAGTATTACTCAGCTATAAAGATAAAGTAGAGGCTTTTATAGATAAATGGATGCAACTAGAGACCATACTCACTAGTGAACTAAATCAGACTCACATATGTAAACATGGTGTTTCCTCCCTACTACAAGAACCTGAAAGAGTAAATAAAATCTGAAAGGTACAATAGATACTGTGAAAGGGAAAAGAAACTGCTCAAATAAGAAGGAGCGACTGGGATGAAGGAGGGCAGAGGAAAAAGAAAGAAGGAAGAGGGAAAAAATATGTATACATATACACAGGATAGCTAGGATAATTGTACTACTAATATCTATTGGTTTAGTGACAGGAACTGTTAATGTGTGATTGTTTGATCAATCTTGCATGCCTATATCTGGTTATATGCTGCAACCACTTTGAAGATGATATTATATAATATAATATAACAACCATTGTTAATACCTTATCACTGTGTTTTGATGCTGTTTTGTTTATGTATTTGCTTTTGTTATTTTGTTTTTTTAAATGAAAGAATTCTTTAACTAAATTCTGATATAACCATACAATGGAAAACTATGCAGTTGTTAAGCTGTACTGTATAGAAATAATTTCAATACCATAAAAACCCTAAGTTTAAGGCCACAGAAAAAATATTTACTATATTCCCTGAAGTGGCAATTAATACTATGAGACATGAGAATGTTCTGTTGCATGTATGTGTGTTTCCAGAATGTTCATCAAAGTACTAACACTAATCACATATTCACTCTTTCTTTCAGCAAGTATTTCTTGAATGCTAGACACAAGCCTAGGTAGTAAAGATGTGATAACAAGCTGGGTGTGGTGGCGCACACCTGTAACCCCAGCACTCTGGGAGGCTGAGGCAGAGGGTTGCAAGTTTGACCCCAGCCCAGGAAACTACATATCCTAATAAAACCCTGTCTCAAATATAAAAAATAAAGGGGCTGGAAATGTAGCTTAATTGTGGCATGGCTATATAATAGAATACAATACAGGCATTAAAAATGATGATGAAGGAAGTTTTAATGACACCAAAAAAGTAGCTGTACCACTTTTTAAGAGCAGTGGAAGGCTTTTATGACATCCTCATATTGTGAAATTATATGGAAAAGCATGATTACTTGTTAATTACTTAATTAATGTGCTTGTTTTTGAGACAAGTTCTCACTATGTAGTTCAGGCAGGTCTTCAACCCACCATGTCATCTGGGCTAGCCTTGAACTCATGGAAATTCTCCTGCCTCAGCCTCTTGTGTACCGGGATTACAAGCGTGTGGCACTATGCCCAGCTTGAAATGGTTGCTTTATTTACTGTTAACCTTCTTTCCAAATCTTTAGAGATACTATAGGAAATAAAACCCTTTATATCTATTCTCTTAAGAAGAGAAGGCGGACTTACCAGATGTTGTAAAGGGAGTTGATGCATCTGTGAGGAAGAGAGGAAAAAAAACACAAGTGAGTTTCAGGGCTCAGATGTGGTGGAACGAGTAACTCAGGATGATAGGTAGGACAAACATTGGGGCCATTCACCTTTGTCAATTGGAAACACTCCCTGAGAGGCATAGGAAAGCTAAGCAGCCAATGTAAACCATCTCCAAAGCAGTGGAAGGGGAGTATGTTCTCATATCCTCAGGTTAGGTTAAACCCTCCTGTGCTACAGGGGCAAACCTAAGGAGGCAAGGGCATCACACCCACCAAGCTCAGAGACACCAGAGATTAACCAGTGCAGGCGTCAGAACACCCATTTCCGAGAGAAGACCATGGTGAGAGAGTGCTGGGGGAGGGGACCCTTTCTTTAGGAAAACCACCCACCAAAATAGAGAGCAACTATATTGTCACCTGAGCAGATGACTCCTGCATCCTCCTGGTGCCCGCAGTTGTGGGAGAGCCATCCGCGGTGGGGACAGTCCCACAGGTAGGATTCATGACCTGAGCAGGCCACATCATCCAGGACGATTGGCCCATTGCCTTGACCAAAGCGGGCATTTCCCGGAGCAGACACGGCCCAGCCACAGCCCAGCTGCCTGCACACCACGTTCGCATCATTGGTGCCCCAGCTGTCATCGCACACGGTGCCCCAGGAGCCCCGGTACAGGACCTCCACACGGCCCTGACAGCGGTGTCCTCCATTCACCAGCCTCAGGGCCAAACCGGAATCAGTGCCTAGGGAGGACACAAGTTTCACAGTTGATTCTGTTTCTGTGAGGAACATCGAGGCGAGGCAGTGGCTATGAAGCCAAAACTACTTCCCAGTGTCCCAGTCTCTCATACAGGTTAAAAACCCAAGGAAGAGGAGAGCAGCCCCCTCCCTGCCTAGCCCAGGGGCACTTGTGACCTGAGCTCATGCACAGCACAGAGGCCCTGATGGAGATCGGGCTGAGCGCCTCTCATCAGTCTGGCATTTTCTCTCCTCAATTTCATAAGCTGTGCCCTCACTTCTACTGACCCAAGACCTTAGGTCCAAAATTACTTCCTGGATTCTCATAGTTAGAGCCAAATGCACAGAGATTGCTCCACGACAGAATCAAGATTAGTGGTAACAAAGCCCCAGATAATGCACCTCTCTGTTTCCCACATCACTGTCTGTGCCTCCTCTGTGATCTCTGAGCCCTGCAGAACTGCAGGCTGTTTCAGGATTATTACAGGGAAAGACATTCATCCGAACCCTAACACAAGGACGGGCACCTGCACACATGTGCACACACCCCCACACACGCACGTACCGTCTGCACAGCGGCGAAGGAGAAGAGAGAAATGGAGGCCCTAGTGTGAGGACAGAACAGCGTGGATGATGAGCCTCTGATAGGAGAAGTCTCGGGTCCCTTCCCAAAGAAGACACCCTCTACTCACGCAGAAGAAGGAGGCAGCCCAAAGGAGAATCTGTCTTCCGGCCCAGCTATGAAATCATTGAACTGTGAGTAAAACTCCTATCTCTCACCCCTCAGAGCAGGGTAGGGAGAGCTGCCTGTGCTCACTGGCACTCTGTAGTAACATCCCATGATAGAACTCCTGTCATTGTCACTGCGGGTAAACTGGACGCGCTGATCCGAACGTCTCATTGCTGTCAAACCTCAGGCACCAAGTGTCCACAGCAGATACATGTCACCAAAACCTTTCCTCTCCTGAAGTTCATACCCTGTGGCAAGGAATCAGTAAGTGGTAGCAGAGGGTCCACAGAGCTAGGACACAGTCAAAACAAGTGATGCTCCTTCCAAATGAACAAAACACCACAAAGAGGAAGCTCTGAAGACTCAGCCATTGCCTGAGGAGTCTTCTGAGACAGGCAGGGTCCTTTTGGCAAGGAACGGGGACACAGTTCTTCTTCTTGGGGGAGCAGGGCTCCAATACCCACCGTTCCTACCTTGCTTATTGACTTGCTACTCTGTCACCTTGCAGAAGGGGTGACTAGTCTGTTCTTCCCCAGCATTAGATTCAGTGGAGAGGAGAACAAAGCCAAATATATATCTGGAGACAAATGTAGGCCTGAGAAATTTGTAAAGCAGTTGAGGAAAGGTAGAAACTTCAAGGATTTCTGTGCTTGCTTTATGGATGAAGGCAGGAGGAACACAGACACAAGATAATCCTGAACATGTAGCAAGCTGAAAACCACCAGCAGAACACCCGGTCGGTTTCTACCGAAATATCCCAGGTGTAAGAAAGGACTTTCTCTGCCTTCTTTGAACCATGCATTCTGGGAGATGAGGGAAGAGAAGCAGAGTCTTGGCCTGAGGCCCTACATACACTACGCTGCAGCAGCGGCCCTGGATACAGACGTGGCAGATTAGATCCAGCACCCATGCACGGTGCTTACCATGGGCCACGCCAGCTGTTGGGCCAACCTGGGCTGGACAGCAAGCCCCAGGAGGAAATTGTGGGCAGAGGGTGGCATCAAGACCGGCACTGGTGATGAGAGCCTGCTCACATTCCAGCGCTCTCTGTAAAGCTGTGGACACACAGTTTTCTAAGGGAAAGAGACCTGGCAATCCTCCTGCCTGACCTGAGGCACTGAGGACTCACTGCATGGGAAGCTGGGGAGAAGCAGAGTCAAAACTCAGGAAATTCCACAGTGAGACCTGCACTCCTGAGGGCAGCCCTGCAGACGGACCCAAATGAATCTCCCATGGCAACTGTCTTGGAAAATCATGAGGTGATGGTGCCTTTCCCACCCCAGCCAGAGGAAAATTTCTCTCCCCTTCCTCCAGAAACTGCCTGTCTCAGACAAGGAGAACTCGAGGGAAGATTGGAGTTCCGCATCCAACAGCTCTGGCTGGTGAAGCATGTCCCACCTTGAGACCACAAAGTCTAGGGCCTGTGCTCTCCCAACAGCAGCTGTCACCCATATGACCTCAGGATTTGCACAGTTGTTGGCACCCTGTCATTACCCAGGATTTCTTCACAAAACGTAAGTAGGAACAGGCACAAAATCAACTTGGATTGGACCATGGAAGAGGATGTCCTCAGTTCCTATAGAAATGCTGTCAAAATCACGGAGGGATTCCACCTTACTCCCACCTGGATTTCATAAAGACAGAGATACATAATAACCAGTGTCAATGAGAACTGGAAAAATTGGAACCCTCAGACACAGAATAGCGAAGGGCATGACTCCAGCTACTATGGCAAAGTAGATTGGTCATACGGATCAAAGGAGCATGTGACCCACAAATCCACTTCACAGTGTTTGCCCGAAGAACTGGAAGAAAATGTCCAAGCTAAAACCCGCTTCACTGCTCTGAAAACACTGTTTACATCAGCCAAGAGGTGGCAATGACTCAAATATCCATCTACAGGTAAACAGATACCCAGAGTGAGGCCTCCCCACACAAGCGAATGTTATTTGGCAATAACAAGACATGGTGTGCTCTCTCCTACATGCTAAAACATACATGAGCCTTCAAAACAAGTGAAATGAAACAGGTCAAACGAGAAAGACATGCCTCCACACATATGACATGCACAGAATAGGGAAATGACAGTCGCTGGGAGAAAATCGAGGTGTGCTAGGAGCTGGGTGAAAAGAGGAAAGAGGCACGGCTGGCACTGGTTAGGGATGAGGAAACATTGCCGGAAGTAGAGCGGGATGTGGTTGCACACAGCTGTTCACGTGCTTAATGCCAGGGAAGTGTGCAACTGCAACTAACTAAATGGTCAATTGTAAATGGTACAATTTAAAAAGGGCAAATTTGGGTGCTGGAATATCCTCGTTTCTATTAAAGTATTAGCGCAACATGCACAAAACCTGATTTGTTTCCTTAGCTTCACATCACACACACACACAAAAACACACATATAAATGGGTAAAATGGATGAGTAACATATCACCTAGGTGAAATAATGAAAGGGAAATAATATGAATGGGAGAATCACTATTAAACATATATGTGTTAATGTGCATTAAAAATTCTGTCTTTTTTTATTAAAACACAAATCTTCCTTCCCAAAAAACAAACAGCACAAATACTACAATCTATAAGGTTCAGGAAAGACCTGCACCCCGCATGCTCCCCTCTGCACTAGAAAATGTAAAGGTGAATGTGAAAGCCTGTCCAGACAATCAGAGCACACAGAGATAGCTCTGGAGAAGGCACCTGTCACTAAGTTGGTTAATTAGAGTTCCCCAGGATTTAGGGCCAGACATATGGCAACAGATGTTCTAGTGGGAGAGATACTTGGGCCTGATAACTATTTTCTTTCCTAATGTTCAAAAGACAAGCTGACAATGAAGCCCACATGCCCAGTGGGCGTAAAATGTCTAGGGGAACAGGCAGTTTTAGAATTTCTGGATTCAGCTGCCTCTGAAGCTACAGAGCCAACCATGCATATCCTACATGGTCAGCCAACAACTTCCTTACGAGATAAGAGCTTGAGTCAGATTTGTATCCTTTGTAAACCAAGGGCACCTTGACTCAAAGATCTCTTTTACAATACAGTGCAACCAGCACGTGGGTAGAGACCTTCATGATACCCGAGGTGACAAGCAGGGACAGACCTCAAGCAAGAACCAGCAATTTCCCACAGACCTGTTGGTCAGACCACTGAATGCTGAGAGTATGACATACTTCACAGACACTTACTGTTAAAAGGATCTGTTATATTCTACCAGTCTGGCAAGAAAAATAAAGCCAGATTAGAAGAAAGGATGGAGGGAGGTTGTTTGGTTAAACTTGGGTCTAGGGATCCGTGACTAGGATCAGGGACAGAGGGTCAGAAAATCTTTGTGGCAGAGAAATAACCTCACAGCAGTGGTCAGGAGGATGAACAAGTTGTGTGCTCAGCCTGACCACCCTTTAACCTTGATGAGAGGAGAGACTGTTGTTCCCGCTTGTTGCTTCCCGAAGGGAGCATGGAAGGAAGAAAAGGAATAGGTTGACCAGGGATAAAGAGGCAGGAGGACTGACCTGGTGTGGACGTGGGCATGGGCGTGGGCGTGAGGGGTGGCGTGGACTGCTGTGGGAAATCTGTGGAGAAGAGAAGGCAGATCAGATGCTTTGCATGGAATTGGCAAAACCAGACACAAGAGGAAGATACTGATGTGCTTAGGTGTGCATTCATGCATGCTTTGCCGTAGAGGCAGAGCTGCTTGTCATCCACTGTCTCAAAGACCTGCTGTCTGTGAGAGGTCCAGGCAGATCCTGTCCTCTACTCCCAAACTCAAGTTAACAAGCTGTGCCTGGAAACTGGTGTCTGGATCTGGTGACAAAATTGAACCAATCCCTTCCCTCTTATATTAGTTTTTAGTTGTCCACTGACTCAGATAAAATGGAGCCCAGCCGTGGGTGAAATTCCTGCACATGACCTCCAGGTCTTATAGGATTGCCCTTCAAACACCATACCTGCTTCTCGGATACTCATTGTGGCCACCTGGAGGGGCCTGGAGAGGTAGTGGTTAAAGACACAACCCCCACTCTTCTGGCATGCTGAACCAGCAATGCTGATAGAAATACCTCTTTCCTGACTCTGGTCCTCCACTTAGAGACTCCTCTACTGAGGGCTTTGGCTAAATTCCGCGCTTCCTCAACAGGAATTTTGCCCAAGCATCTCTTCTGTGAAGGAGTCCTTCCTACGCCTTCTGTGCTACATTTCATTCACCCCTACCCAGGACCCATAGGAGGAGAAAATGCAAGAGACTAGGATTTGCGTTTTTGCTCTGCCTGCACTGTATGAGCAAGAGATTTTTAAGCTTGCTTTCTTCTGGTCTACTGTCCTCACTGACCACAGCAACTGCTAACACCATTTCAAGGACTAATTCTGATTCTTACTCATAACTAAGATGACACCAGGAAACTGAGAAAGACAGGTAAGGAGATGTACCAAAAGCTGTTTTCCAGAACCCTCAGGGGAAAGAGAGTTCATGATTTATGGTGACTCACCTGAGCAGATGACCCCTGCATCCTCCTGGTGCCCGCAGTTGTGGGAGAGCCAACCGCGGTGGGGACAGTTCCACAGGTAGGATTCATGACCTGAGCAGGCCACATCATCCAGGACGATTGACCCATTGCCTTGACCAAAG